ATATACGGACTGTTGCATTGGTAAACATTACTCAAGTTGGTTCTTTGTCTGGACTTAAGGGGGGTCCATCAGCAGTTTCTTGTTTTCCTGTTTGGCCAGGATGGCGACCGATGAGAGTCCCAGACCCCAGACCCCAGACTTCTTTAGTCTTGGTCTTCGCATTCGCATTGGTCTGGGCATTTCTTTGTCTGGCTGGCTATGTTGTTTTTTGTTGTCGCCGTGTATCCGTATATCTCTGAGTATTCGAGTATCTGAGAGTATCCTTCGGTTCCAGCAAGCAAGTTGGGTTACTCGAGTTCACTTCTTCGCTTTTTCTGCAGACGGACGCCTGACAAAGTATCTGCTGCTATAGATGTGTGCCGTCTGTGATGGTGTCTGCTGCACCTACAGTGGTTAACAGTTAAGTGAAACTTGGGAAGTGCAGCCAAGTTCGAATGCGATTTGGTTGCCAAAAGATATCTCTTTAGGAAAAACACCTTCAAGACAGTAAAGCTCTCTTAAGTCAAGTAAAGTAAAAATGTCTTAAAATATCTTTAGAATTCTTTAAAATGTTGATTATGATTTTGGTTTAAAAGGACAGGTTTCATATTAAGACAGACGTTATAAGGAACTACCTTTAATGTATAATAATTTGTATCTTTTTTCTTATTTTAAGCGTATTTTCCAAGCAGAATAGGCCAACGTGTAGCAAATCTTTCTCAAACAATATCAAGTACAAATCATATCAGCAAAACGAGAAGAGCAGTAGAATTCGAAAATATACGGGTGTGTGTGTGTGGGTTGTGCTGATAAGATTCGCATCGCAGGAGAACGCAGAGGAAATGAAAGGCAAAGATAGGCCGCGAAAGAGACAGAACGTAAAGGCGAGAGAGAAGGAAAGCAGGCAAACATAAATTCTGAATTTTGTTGCTGTTGTCTGGGTCGCTGACGATTTTTTGGGGCTTGCTATATACGGATATATAATCGCACATACTCATATAAATACATTGAAAGCGCATGCGTTGTTGTTGTTTTTTGGTGCTCTACCTCTCTTCCTCTTCTGCTTTAAGAAATCTGCCAACAAGTACCCAAGTTGTATATATATATATACTATATACATATACACGAACCAACAGCTATTTTCGTACATAAGGCAAAACAACACTCGACAACATGGCATCTCGAACATATGGAAACGGGTTCTCTATCTCTGTCTTTTCCTCGTCTTTTTTGTTGTTGTTTAATCTACATGTGCATGTTAACATGTATGCGTGTGAGTGTTTTGTGTATCTGTGAGTGGCTTTTGTTATTGAATCGCTATCGCAACAACATTTGCTCTTGCCCCACTAAAATGAAAAAGGGTTCCGCGAGATTAACCTGAATTAATGGTAAAAGGTTTCGTAATATTTAATAAGTATTTTGATTAATCAAACAGAAAATGTTAGGAGATTTGATAAATAATTGAAAAACCAAATATTATATGATAAGTATTAATATTTCTTAATCAAAATTAAAGTTCCCCTAACCGACTGTCCACTGTAATTTATAGCTGTGATTTTGTTTCTTACCTATTTACTTATCTTATCATATGTGTTTATTTATTTTTTTCGTTCACATACTTTAGTATTGGTGAGCTCCATATGATTTTTGTGTACATTTTTGGCCTGCGCAACAGCAACATGTTGCTATCGAGATAGTTAGCAACATGTTGCTATCGAGATAGTTAGCAACATGTTGCCATACACAAACAAAACTCACAAAAACTAGCCAAATGTACGACGTAGTTTTCCCCGCAACAGAGAGGGGTTTACATATATATATGTATATATCTATCTATCTAGGTATATAGTATATATAGACATGTATAGTATATACATAAACAAAGTGCTGCTGGCTGCTCAGCTGTTTTAGAAAGTTGCCGTCAGCAGCAGCGAACGGTTCGCAGCGCTTGGCTCCTCCGCTCATTTATTTCCATTCATTTCATTTCGAGACGTCGAAGCGAGCACACGCGTCACAATCCATAAAATATATACAAAAAGAAATCAAAAGAAAAAGAAGGAATTAAAATTTATTTTTTCACAGTGTGAACGCGTGTGTGTGTGTGTGAAGTGCAGAGACTCTCAAAAAGAAATACATAGGAAAGCAAAACAAAAAATTAAAGGCCAAAAAATCTAAGCAAACAAGTTTGTTTGGCTAATATTGAAACGCGTTTACCTGCGAAACTCGAACTTTAAAGAAATATATATATACACAATACATCGATATATTTTAGCGCTGTTCAAAAGCGTTGAGAATTCAAATGCAGCTAAGCGAACGCCCAAAAATATGTGGCCACTGCCATTTTTTCAGCCTCAGGACTAGAAGCCAATTAATTCAAAAAAATCAAAGGCGACAAAAATCCGCCACAGTTAATACCTAAAATTATGAACATCTAAATCAAATCAATTTCAATTAAGTGTTTTTAAATTTTAAAATTCACTTGAAAAGAAACCAAATTCATCAAAATTAGGAAGTTTTCGACAAAATTTTACAGCAAAAAACACAAAAAAAGGTTGGTGCACAAAAACCAAAATAATTGTATGGCTTTAAGTGCCAAGAGTATGTATGGTTGTGTGTGTTTGTGGCCACTCAGCTGGTTAGCTGCGCATGTGTTGGTGACGTAATGCCAAAGCACAGCCAAACTAATACTAATGCAGCGCAATTGGCAAAGCTCTAAAGCCCCCCAACCACCACTTCCATCACCCACAACCACCCACACACACAGTTGCCAATAATTGAAGATCGCTCACAGTGACAGTGGACACTCCCTAAAATCAATTTTAAAAGTGTACTTGCAAATTTTTAAGTTTAAATTTGTGCAAAATCAATCAGTTTTTAATAAATTGAAATCAGTTTTTTAACGTTTAAATTGTTATGTAATGTTAAAAAAATATATAATTTTTTCAATTGTTTTGTAATATTAAATAAATTTATAATATTTCGACATCTCAAACCTTTTTTCGTGAATTCTAATCACGTAATGCAAAATTTTACTTATAGAAGCTGTACTGTAGTTGGACACTTGTGTAGGTGAAGCACTTTGGGAGACTTTGTGACGCCCCCTTCGATGTTATTTGACACAAACACACACACCCTCACATACAAAGCAACACACATAATTTACTGAAAAGGCAATTCAAATCATGCTCTCTGGCCCCTTCACACTCCTCCCTCCGCACACCTATCTGTATCTCTATCTTTCCACTCCCTCAAATGTTGTTTTTGTATGTTGTGAAGTCAGGAAAACTACTCGAGTTTTTTTTCTCTCTTTTTTAATATAATTGACACACATTTTCTAATTGTGGCGTCGTTGCATTTGCTGTGTGTCAACACTTTTGTTGCTGCTTTGCATGGGGGCATTTATCATGTATCGGCAGGTCTGCTTTCGAACTTCTTTATTCGTTTCTCGCTTTTGTAACCTGTTTGACTCAATCAGCTGTTAGAAGATAAAAGAAAAAATATAATAGGCAATAATCATGTAATAAAGAAAAATAGCAACAAAATCTGTAAGAATAAAATGCGCAATACTTGAAACCTCCCACGTGTCCGGGTTGTTAGATCAAATCTTTAAGAAAGTGGGGAGGGAGAATTATGCGATGTATAAATGGATACATTGTGAATGAACTATGGGAAGGAAATTATTGTAAAAATAATAAAATTATCGTTATTTCCTATTCATATTATTTAATATTTTAATGATTTAAGCTTACAATAAGTGTATAACACCTAAGTATTTCTGAAATAATTTACCATATCGAGTGGTCACTTTAAATTCACATAAAGTGAAGGTCACTTTAACTGCAATTTAAAGAATTTAGCAAGAACAATTAAATGACAAACTTTCACTATCTCTGAACCTGCTTTTTATATAAGTGAAAGTACTTTGCCTTTTGGTTTCTTTCATTTTTGGCAGATAAGCAAAACAAAAAACGAAAATAGCAAAGCCGAAATAAAGCCAAAATAAATAGCAACAGCTGTTCTTGATGAAATTTTTGAACTTTGGTTAAAGTTTTTTCTGTGGTTTTTACACGTACAATGTACACTTGGTCAATTTATATCAATTCAGATAAGGCAAAAAAGAAATACAGAAATATAAATGAAATGTAACGAACTCGGACCCACAGACACACACACACACACTTGCATACATTTGTCATAGTAATTTTATACGTGCGCAGTTGGAAATGTAAATGAAAGAGGGAGAGGGCAATACAAGGGTAGGGGGCGGCGGCAGAAAGAGAAACAGAATAAAGAATTGGAGTTGGAAAAGTATCAAGTGAAAAAGTGTGTGGGGAGCAAAAAAGAGAGGGGTTAAAGGAAGGCATTAACACGTCTTGCGGTCATTTGCTTTTCAAGAGAAGAAGTGCGTATTTTTTTGTTGATTTTTTGCTCTCAATTTGCAAGAAATATTTTGGCTAAAAATAAAAACGTGCTCGTCCTGTTCTGGCTCCCTCATGTTCTCTCTCTCCCTATTTCTCTTTCGACCACTCCAGTTGCTGGCCCCAAAACTCCACACAAGTGCGAGTGAGATGCGCTCACGTGCTCTCACATTACAAAAGCACACACACACTCACATACTTGCTCACCCACTCACACACACGTGGAGGAAGAAGAGCACCATAACTGGACTGCGTTTGTTTACATTTTTGCTTTGCCTTTTTTGTTTTTGCTCGCTTTGATTTTGCCTCTGTTTTATTTTGTTTTTGCTTTTTTTTTATTTACTGCGCACATGTGAGCATCAGCAGGGCAATGTGGGTGAAAGAAAGATAGAGAGAGAGGTAGACAAGGGGTGAGCAAAAAATACCTCAACTTTATTTGTTGTGTAAGAGAATCAGGGTGTCTCACGCTCTGTAAAATGATAAAAAAAAAAAACTGTAATTACGCTTTAATTTGTTACATTTCCTGATCAATTACATATTAATTCACTGCAAAGAATTCAACCATTTCTAATCACTGCTTTTCGATTTATCTTTTCTTTTTAGCAAAAAGCAAAAAATAATGGAATTTTAACAAAGTTTTGAAAGGTAAGTGAAGGGGGATTTTATAAAGGAAAACCTTGACTGGTTTGATATGATATCTCTAATACGCGGTGATGTTTCGTGTGTGAAAAAATAGTTGAGTAATTGTAGGCACTGTAATTGTGTGAAATAAATTGAATTATATATAAATGAATATCTGATATTTTCAATATAATTATAATATTATTAAAGACTTAAATTATTAGAATTTAAAGTAAAAAAAAAAGTAAAAACTCAAAGTTTTCTAAAGTTTACATACCGTATCAAGGAATTCCCTATCGGATGACCATGCTGATAACTCAAGTCACCCTACAATATGTTCTTTGTTCCGTAAGAGAGAACTAGAGATAAATAGAGAGGAGGAGGATGGGTGATAAACAGGGGTGGCTTCATGTAACCCATTGAAGGTGCGGCCCCCTAGAAAACACACAGAAAATACAAAAAAAAAAAAAACCAAAGCTCGCTCAGCTGTGAAGGTTTATGATTGGGAGGGTCACCACCACATGAGCATTCGAACACGCACACAGGCACAGAATGGGCTTTTGTAAGGTCGACAGCGAGGTCAATCAGTGTTTGGAAAAGCGATTGTCTTGCAGTCTTCCTGGGAAATGAAAATTTAATAAGAATCGTAGGATGATTCTATGAAAATCGAACGGGAATTACATATTAGGTTGGTTAGGGTGAATTACATGAATTAAAAGGGTTTCCTTAGAAATAATTTCAATTCAAATTTATTAGAGGTTAAGCTATTCCTAGATTATATTTTTTCTATGGTATTCACTTTTTAAGTTAGAATGAAATGTATATAACATTATAAAGCATGTTATTTTCACTTAAATCTTTAGGACTTTCTTTGAACATTTTTCTGTAAGATCTTTCAATATTTCCACTCCATCTCAGAAATCTCGTTACGACTTCCGTTTGAGATGACACATCCTCCACTTAACGAACTTAACTTCTGCAGCTAACGAGAATATGAGTATAATTAAACTTTATGGTGACGCATTCGACGGCATGACTAAAGTGAAACACAACCGTATAAGATGATGTTAAAAGCAAATAAAAGACGTTTTCTTTGTTTGTGGCTTTCGTTGCACTCACGTGTTAACTTGGCTTTTGTTTTTTTCTTCTTTTTTTTTTTGATTTCATAACGCCGAAAAGGGGGACGCAGAAAAGGAAACCCCAAAAACAAACGAAAGGCAAACGGAACTTGTTTTTTTTTTTTAATTTGAAAAGTTGCAACATAACAATTTTCCACTCGTGGTCGTTGTTTTTCTCTTTCTTATCTGCTTTGAACTGGTATTATTTTTTTGGTTTTTTGTTTTTGTTTTTGATGCAGCGCCACTGGCGGGGGTTTTCGTTACATGCCTTTCACTCCGCCTGGTGGCGCGCCTTCAAAATTTTGTTATTCCAATATTCGAATTTAATACCCTTCATAGAGTGATCTTTATAGGGTATAACTATTTGTGTGTATTTTTCTTTTTCTTTAAGATGATTTGGTGAAAAATTGTTTGGAATCGATTTTAGAAATCGTATATAAATGGTGTTTTATTAGAAAGTTTGAGGATAACTTTGTATAACTAGGTTCCTCTTAGACATATCAAAAAGAAACGTTAGAAACAAAATTCTCAATTAGATTTCCTTATATTTAATGTTTTCTACCAAAATAGGGTACAAAAACCTAAGTTTCCATTTTTATTTCCCGTTCCCTAATTTGTTTTCCTTCTTGTGCCATTCGCCTCGCCTGCATTTTCCGCTTGGTAATCAAATTTTGTAATGTGCGTCAAAAAAAAGAGAGAAAAAAACACGTAATAATAAATGAGAAAAACTCAAATGAAACGAAAATGTGCAATAAATAAATAATTCAAGCAAGACAATCTACGAACACAAATGCAGCAGCGCGCGCGTTGCAAAATCAAAAAGCATGCCAAGGACGGTGGCCGAGCTAAATGAAATTAGTCCAACAATGCGCCCCCTGACCACCCCCTTTTCCGCCCAACACTCCTCTGCCCCACTCTTTTTCAACCTGCTCTCGATCGCTTTGCCAAGAAAATGCAGAAAATAATCAACAAAGTGTGCCAATCAAGGAGGAAAAAGGTGGAAAAAACAACCATATGACAAACGTTTTTTTTTCCGATCAACTTAATGGTTTTTTGTTTAATTCGCTGCCAATTACTTTTGCATCTGTTTTTACCTTAAAAAGCAATTATTTTAGTGAGAATTCATGATTTCCTAGTGCGAGGAATTGCAAGGCTATCTCTACAGAATAATAGCAATTGGCTGAAGCTTTAGCTTCGTTAGCTTGCCAAGAAAAATAATCCGCTTTTATAGACAATAAGATACTCAAATACAATTTTTGATTATTAGAGAACGATAAAGTTGGCATAAATATTAAAAATATGAAGTACAAATATTTTTCTTCGATTTTATAAGGCAAAGAAGTTAGAAATAGTATTAAGAACAATTCCAAAATATCCAGAATTTATTGTTATTTATTCACTTTACTTTAATTTTATAGATGTTTTAATCGATTATGTAATTTAAATTGACTAAAAAAAAACACACAATGACGTCTTTTGGGACGACTAAAAATATTTATCAGACAAGTAAAATTTTCCCGATGTGTCCCATGCGATTTTCCACGTTTGTCATTTCCTGACATTTCCTTGAAATCGTAGCGCGTCTCTCCTCCAACTGCGTCATCGAGTAAATTTTCAATTTTCAGTTGAAAAGCGAATTTTCCGCCGTTTTCCTTCCGTCTGCGTTGAGAGATGCAAACGATAATGGACAAGCTGTAAAGCAGGGGTGGGAAATAAAAAAGAACAAGAATTGGCAATAATGTAATAGAATTATTAATGAAATATGGACGGTTGTTCCGTTCGCTTGTCCCCATTTTCATACGGGTTTTCGCGTCCGTATGTATTTGCCTATTGTGGGCCAAGAGTATTTCATATACATACATATATATCAGCATGTTTATATATGCGAATATGCCATAAACAAAACTCAACACATACAAACGCACAGCAAACATTGTAAAGCAATACAAAAATCAGATGTTTTCTAATACAAACACTCAGAGAGGGAGAGAGGGCAAAAGCTTTTTGCTCTCCCGCTCTCATTTTTTTGTCTTATATATCTGTGTCTGTCTCGCGCGCTACTTATATATTGTGTATGCAGGTCAAGAAGAAACGCAAAAGCAAAAGCAAAAGTAAAGACAAACATGTTTACCCAAGAGAGCGCGCGCTCTCCCTCTCTTTCGTTAGCAACATGTTGCACGCGTCTCGCTGCACATGTTTGCTTCTTAATTTGGTTTTGGTTTTCAATTCGCAGCCCGCGATTTCGCTGTTGTCAAGCAGAGTTTTAGCATACAAAAAAAATGTATACAAAAAAAGCTTACAAATGCAAAAATATAATTGCAACAGACTTTTTTACTCTTTCTTAAGATTTATTAAAAGTTGCAATAATAATTATATTTTTTTAATTTTATAAACAAAGTACTCTAGTTTATTTTTTTATGTTTATAGGTCATTTTGTTTTAACATTAAATATTAAAAATATAATTTAAAATTTTATATTTAAATTTTCATTAATTATTAATGATAAATAGTAAAATGTATATTTTAACTAATAATTTTATAGGACTCTTAAAATTACTATTTTAATGTTTATTTAAATGACAAACGATTAGAAAAGATTATTATAATATTAAATCCTAATAAAAACCATAAATTAATAACCTAATTTATAGATAAATAATTATACAAAATGAGATAGAGCATCCCCAAAGAGGTTGCCACAGAACGACCTTCAAAGTTTCGCACAGATTCTCACCCATACGAATGCAATGCTTTTGCAAAGCTTGGCTCAATGACGTCACATCGTTAGCAACATGTTGTTGCTGAGCTGACGACCTGTGCGAATTTTCAAGTGGTGCGGTGAGCAGCAGGGAGGTGGTGGGTGGGTGGATGGTTGCTTGATGCATTGTGCATTGCCAAACGGCTGACATGTTGCTCCTAACTGGGTCTCCGGTTAAGTAACGACCTGGTTTCCAGCTCTGCTCTTTTTTCCCCTCTACTTCTCACTTATTAGTTAGCATGTATATGTGCACTTAGTTAAGTGCAGTACATATGTATGTATCTATGTACATAATGATTTCAGGTTAAAACGGGGCCGTGTCAGTGTGTCGCATTTAAACAATTGGCCAAGAGAATTATACTGGCGGCTAGCCTTTTGTTGCTTCCGCATCGGAAGGATAAAAAAAGAGTAACACTAAAGTAAACCATGTCACTAGTACATAATATAAAAAGTACATAGTGGCTGGACCTTGGGGATTCGATTCAAGTTGAGGGTGCTTCTTTCCTCAGTCGACCTTCAGCAATTGCAGTGGGTGACGGCCAGTGGGTGGGTTGGAATCTACACCAACTGCAGCATCTGTTGCTAGGCTTATTTATAGAGCAGCAGCCTTGTGGGTTACGAAATAGAGTCAAGGATGTATGTCATACATAAGTCTGCCAGCCTAGTTTCGGGCCAAATTTAAGCTGACTTTGGCTTTAGGTTACTTAACTATCAGTGGCTACGAGTGAAACTAGATTTTCCCACGAGAATCAGTTAGATAACTTAAAATTATGTAATATCACTCTTAAATTAACACTTTTTGATATAATTAGGGCCAGTTTTTCGGCTTCATGGCTAACTTAAAAGTAGATTTTAAAATGAGAAAATGAATAGAATTTCGTACTCTAAGATCTACTTTTACCTATTTATTTATTTTTCTATATTTAACCATTTAAATTTCTTAATAAAATATCTTTCCTTTATTTTTCCAGTGTACTTCTGGTGCAAGAAGCAGCAGCAGCAGCAATAGCTACAGGAATCGGAACCGGAACAAGCTTTAGATCCAACGGACGACAGGCAACCAACCGACTATGATACCCACCAGCGTGACCAATTCGCCACCGCCAGCGGGATTGGGCCAAAATGGAGCATCTGCATCCTTGGGCTCGGCAACGGCGGCGGGTGGAGGAGGAATGTTGTCCGGTTTGGGAATGATAGGAATCATTGGTAGCGTGTCAACGGGAGCAGGTGCAGTTGCTCAGAACAACTATAGCTCGGTTGTGCTGGGCTTGGCCTCGCTAATCCTCGAGGGCAGGCCCATTGCCGACGATGAGTATCAGCAACCGCAGGTGGGAATTGTCGCAGGAGGATCCAGTGGTGTTTCAGCGGGAGGACGCCTTTCGCCGCGACCCTCCACCTCCAGAGCAGCTATTAACATCACAACGAATCCCTATGGTACCATGGGAGGATCGGAAAATAGAGCAGGCAATGGAAGTGGATCGGCCGGATCACCCAGTAGTAGTAGTTCGCTAACCCACCAGCGCTGGACGCAGAAACTCTGCCAACTGCGTCAGATTTCACCCGCTGCCCAGGCGATGAGTGCTGAACCGGAGTTGGTTTCTTTGGCCATCAATGATCTCAACAAGGATCACGGCGACTACGAGATTGTACGACGGGTTATGCTCAATCGAGCTGGTGGAATGGCTTTGGCTAGCAGTGCCAGTAGTGGTGGTCCGGGCGGTGGTGGTGGTGGTACCAACAACTCCAGTGCCGCCAGTTCACCGGGTTCCAATTCATCGGATAACATCCTTCACTCACTGCAATCGCTGGCCACAACCTGTTTGAGAGGTGGACCCGCCTTGGCGCCACCACCTGTGGAGCCACGACCCCTGAGCTTGTCCTTCTTCTGGTCAGGATCAGGTGGTTCTGGTGGTAGAGGATTGGGATTAGGAGCAGCAGCAGCAGCAAGCATCAGTAACACACCAACAACAACGGTAACTGCCACTGCCAGCAGCGGAGCAAGTAGCTCCGCATCGCGGCCCAAACATGGGCCGCACTGTGATCAGTTCCTCAGGAAGATGGGTCTGGCCAAGGGCGAGATGCCATCGGAGGCTGAGGAGCACATCTGTGATATGTCCTACGTGAATATGACCGTACGTTTTCGGATAACTAAAAGATTTTCTTTCAATTTTTCACTTCTTAAATCCTATTTTTCCAGTGCAATCGTTGGCGGGCGTACTGCATGAAAATGGAGGCCATCTTGGCCAGACGTGAACCCGTATGCATCGAGGTTTACCTGGGTCCCGTGAGCCATAAACTTTTGCTAGAGCAGTGGATCATTACCGGCAAGGAGAAGTGAGTCTTCAAACCATTAAAACCAACAAAGATCTAAAGTAATCTTCCTCTTATAGAGTTCCGCCGCCTACAATGACGTTGCCTTCACTGTGCAGCGCCATTCGGAGTCAGTTGTACTTCTCGCAGATCGTGGCCTGGTGTGATCTCCTTCGCAAATGTGATCCTTCGGTGTACGACAGTGGTCGTGTAATCTTCTCCAGCTGCGGAAATAATGCCGGAGATTTGGCCACCACATATACACAGTGTGGTGGCCAAAAGAGACCACGTCTTAACATCTTCTACAGGATCAAACAGCACACCACCAATAGCAGTGGACTACACCAGGAGGATGGCTTCAGTGCCAAGGCCAATGTGCACAATTTTCCCAACGTCAATGTCTCGGAGAGCTATAGCATCTCGGTGAGCGTGCGTAGTTTGCCCAGGATAAATGGTGGGCTGCCGCATGTTGAGCCAATGCCACCTAGTCCAGCTCCGCGCTCTAGCTTAAGATCCTGCGGAGGAGGAGATCCGGTCTGCACGCCCACTGGTGGCGGTGGTCTTCATGCCGCCACACCGACAGGTCTGGGTGCCCGGATAAGTGCACTAACCCCAACGACAACGGCCAGCGGCTCCAACTGTGATAATGGAAAACCAGGAATGGGACAGGTATTGGATGAACTCGACGGGGATACAAGTTTGAGTCACCGGGAAAGACAGCTACAGAAGTATCGCAAGCGAATGCAGCGAAGGGACAAGAAAAGGGAGAGGAAATCAACACCGGAACGGGAAAATAATCCACAACAACAAACCGAGGAACCCATGGAGGAGGGCGAAGAGTCGCAGTCGCAATCTCAGACGCTTTCAGAAACGCCATCCCTATCCTTGACTATGCAGCAACCAAGGCGCATCGCCATGATCTCCACGGGCACGCAGACTTCTCTAAGCAGCTGCCAGCAATGTGGCAGTGAGAAGACTCTACTTTGCCTCAGCTGCACAGGAGGAGGAGGAGCACCTTGTGGATCAAGAGGAGCAGCCAATGGTACATCTGCAAATGGTGTAGGAAAAGGAGCTGATGATGCAGATGATAGCGATACGACAGCCTCTGAAATGGAGGATACCTCTACTTGCAGCCTCAGTAGCAGCGATCTCATCGTGGGCACACCCCGCAACAAGGCGGAGCTCCTACTTCAGGCCATCCAGCGAACGCCAAAGAACCGGAATCGAAAGCCCCATCAGTCGGTGGATCAGGCTCCTCTTGGAACCTCCTGCCGCAACTCAGATCTCAATGGAGGGCAGAACAATAATCTGGTGAAAGCCGCCACGCCAGCCAGCAGTGGCTGTCAGGTGTGCAAACGCCAGAAGACTCAACACAACTTTGCAAATGGAAAGGTCCATCAACCCACCAATGGAGAGCACACGAGCAATGGTTTTGGTGGCATGCATCTGGAGTCGGAGAAACAAACTGAAGTTCAGGTAGGTTTCTGATACCATTCCCAAGATTATCTTAAGCTAAACAAGTTTCTTTTGTAGATTCCCTCAACCAAGCTGACTCCCAACATTGAACGCTGTTCCCTCAATCCCACAGAGCGCTGCAAGACTCCACCACCCGTAGTGGCAGACCACATAGTGGTGCAGTTCAAGACGCCGCTGAGCCAAGTGCCGGCAAAGCATCAACCAGATGCGATGGTGCCACTGCAGCAGCAACAACATTTGGGCAAATCCTCACCAAAGCCAAGTCAGCTAAGATTAAATTGTGGATCAAGTTTGTTGGCGAGTGAAACACCGCCACCCATTGTTTCGCCTCAAATGCGAAAAGCCCTGCCCAAGGTCAACCTGACGACGATCTTCTGCAGTTCGGCTCCCATTGCCATTGGCTGTCCCGCCTTTAGTTTCGATCCAGCTGCCTTGAGCCACGCCCATTCACAGCTGCTGGCACCGGATGCAAGTGCCACGCCGCCAGTGCAGAAATCCTTTTCTGCTCCCACATTGCCACATGCAGCTTCTTTGTCCGTGTCGCCAAGGTTTGCCAAACAAGCTTTGGCTGCCCATAAAAGGCGTTCCCGCCATTTGAGCGATCGCAGCGATCGTAGTTCTTTGGGTTCCGATGAGCAATTGTCGGATGAGGATTTGGAATCTGGTCTGTGCAGTCCAGCTGGTGGTTCGCCCTTAAAATGTCGCGCCAGATTGGCTGCTCATTTTGGTGGACGTCCTTTGCTGGGAAACCTAGAGGAATCTCTGCTACAAAGAAGACTTATGCCTAAGATCGAGGTGTCGGGCTTCAAGCTGCAGTTGGGTGCCTCCGGAGGATTCTGTCCCACCCAGCTGACCATCCCAGCGATGTCCTACTTTTACGAACTGCATGGCGAGACGCTGAGCACTCCTTATTTGGTGAGTTTGATGACAAATTTCAGGAGGAAACGAAAAAATAACAAGAAAAATATCTTTTTCCAGTGCGAGATTCGTCTGCCGCGCAAGGGTTATTCGGTTCCAAGGACGGGCACGGTGCAGGCCACACTATTGAATCCCATGGGCACTGTGGTTAGGATGTTTGTGATACCTTATGACATGCGGGACATGCCCCCGTTGCATCGCACTTTCATTCGTCAGCGTATTTTGGCTGAGGAACTTAGCCAGGAGCAGGATGCTGGACCTAGGATGCCCAGGAGTCCAACAGTGACTAGCACTACTAGCAAATTGGGACATTTTATAAGCGCCGAGCAAATGAAACGGCTGCGATACTCCATACATCTAAGGTACGTTAAGAGATTGTAAGCGATGAGGCAGCATGGTGGAAAGCTCCTTCGCTTATAACGAGTTTTTTAGATACTTTCCAAAGATATTCCTCAGAACTAACCTAATCTTTCTAATTCCTAGGTTCCAGACATCTCGCTCCGGACGATTGTGCCTGCATACGGACATCCGCCTGCTGATCTCACGCCGCACCGATTGCGATACGGCGGCGGCACATGCTAAGGGCGTCTTGGAGGCACCCAATGAGCTGGTGACGGACACCATGATGCCAGCTGAACCGCGCTACAGTGCGCGACAGGAGAGCGCTGGCAGGATTTAGTAGCTACTGCGAGCCCTGGGCGGCACCTTTGAGCTGCTCTGCCGTCTGTGCAAGCAGCTCCAAGACAAATGGCAGCAGCGGGAGACAAGGGATCTCTGGCAGTGGCCCAGATATCAATTGTAGAAACAGAAAGAGCAGGAGAAGGATGAGGAGCAGGAAGAGGCGGAGGCGGAGGGCAGGAGGCGAAAGAAACTCCTAGGCGTGTGTGTGACAACCAACCAACTGCTTTACTAGTTAACGTTTAAGTTTAGTTTCTTTTTAAATTCTTCTTTTTTTTTGGTATTCAACCTCTTGGGAGGTTCTATTCGTTTAGTTTTGAATTTTGAAATACTTGGAAAATGTGTTTGAAAACATTGCGAAAGTAAAAAATGTTGAAATATGAAAGCAATCGAATTAGTCAGTCAAAAGAGCGAAGCAAAATCAATCCGTATCTGTATCTGTAACTGCAATTGTATCTCAACTATCTGTATCTTTTTGGGGTCCACATTCAAGAAAAGCGAAAGCGGAGCAATTAGCAATACTAAATAAAAACAAGGGAGAAAACTAACGTATATAGAAAGGGCATGCATGCAGATATCACATACAATATATATATATATATTTGAATATATATTTATGTACCATAATGTATAACCGTCGAGTAGCGTCAGCAATTTTAAAAGGCAATTTGTGAAGGAGTTAGCGATTTGCAGTAGGTTTTTTGGGGCAAGCAGTGGATAATGGTTGATGTGCGCTCATATCGATCGTTGTTGTTAGTGTGTAGTGAGTTTTTAATGATCAAAAAATTTTAAAAAGAACTAAAGTTTATGTTGAATGCAAGTTTGAGATGAATTTAACTATCTAATTTCGATTTGAATTTCGGTTATGAGAGTGTCTATTAAGCGTGCCTGTGATACGATATGAGCTGCATGTGGGGTGTACTTCTAATAGAGTTTTATTTTAGTTAAATACAATTGATTGATCGTTTTTCTTTCCTCGTTTTTACAAACTATAATAGTTTCCCTGTTTTGTTTTTTTCATATGCAATAAGTGCTTGGAGAGATACTTTTGCACACGCCATGCAATATTGAACAAATACTTCAAGCACATTATGCTGTACTTCAATAATACCGAGAGATAAACTATTACGGATCTAGATGTGTTGAATTTCTAACCAAAATTCTTATTTTCCAATTGATACCTGACTATAAACTATTGTATAACAAAAAGTACTACACACAGCTATTAACAAATTTTCAATCTAGGTGGTATGAAAAGAAAAACAACAAATAAAAACCTTAAATTTAGAAATGAAAAGGAGGAAAACTCGAAAAAAAAGAAAAGAAAATGAAAACCAAGCGAAACAATAAAGAAATGTCGATGGGGATATGGATTAAACCCATCGATCGAGAATCATACAATTTACTTTGTTCAATTTGTTTTAAGTAGAGAGCTTAATGTGCGCTGTCAATAGCAATTATATGTGTAACAATAACACCAATATACAATACAATGATTCAATAAAGGTAAAAGGTGTTTTTTATTTCAAATATAGGGTAGGAGGAGGTTGTTTGGGCAAGAAAATTATCTTTTTTTCAAAAATTATAAAGTTATTAAACTGAAAACGTGGGTAAAGCAAGGAAATATTTACGATTTGAGGTATTTATTCAATATAACTATTTTTTAATGTTTTTCGTTTATTTTATTTATAAATAAATATGGCTTAAATTTACAATTCTTAAAGCTTAGCTTACTCAAACATTTTAAACAAATATAAATAACTTCTAAAATGGCGTATAAAAATAAAAATTTATTTTTATAGCACATTTAAGTATTTCTAAAAACTTTAAAACATATTGTTTGCAAAATACTAAAGTTTTAAGTTATCAATTTAAGTAAAACTGAGAATATAACATTTTTGTCTCTAGGATTCTTTCAGTTTGTTAATTATTTGCCTTTTAAGTTCCCAAGCTGAAGCTTAATTTTTGTAACAAAATAACTATAAAAATATATACATTTTTCAATAGATTTTCTTAATTTATAGTTGTATATTCTAAATTTTATAAATTTGAACGATTTACCTTACCTTAAGCTTGTTTCGCTTTTAAAATACTAAAAATACGCTATAATATTCAAATTTTATAGCAAGGCTAACAGCTGAGCTATGCTATAAAGTATTTATAAAAATACCGCTTATCAGTTCCGGTATATTTTTAAACTCCCTCACCTGGTCCCACTTGTCTTGGAAATTACCTAATTTCTTGGTAAATATGCGATCCAATTTGTTTTCCGGCGCCTCACGGCTCTTGAAATACAGCCGGAATGGAAAACTTCTGACTCGAGCAAGGAGCACCAAGGTCACCTCGAGCAGTTTGGATTCGCAGAACCAGGATGCAGCCGCCACGGAAGGAGGAAAATCAGAATCCGTGGAGGAATCTCCAGAGCAGCAACAAAAGCTGCCCACCAGAGAGCCGCTGGCCAAAAATTTCTTCGTTGGTGTCGTTGACAAGGAGCTGCTTGCCTATCCGGAGGTGATACCTCGTGATGAGATGGCCCAGCTGCAGAATTCTCTCCTCCCTCTGAAAAATTACTTTGAGGAGCCGCGAGAAGGGGAGGAGAAGACCTCCCCGGAGACTCTCCGACAGTTGGGACTGTATGGTCTGAATGCTCCCACGGATTACGACGGCAAAGGATATGGCTGGAGTGCCAGTCTGATGGCCAGTGAACCAGATTCCACAGATCTTAATGTTACCCTAGGATTACAAGGTCATCGCGTGGTTGTGGATCTTCTGAAGGAAGTCGGGACTCCATTGCAACAGCAGAGATATCTCCAGGATTTATCTACTGGTAAACTGATAGGCACTGAAGCTATCTATGAGTTGACCCCACCGGAGGAGGATTACTTCAGCACCCAGGCGGAGTTGCACCCCGAATCCGGAAAGTGGCTTCTCAATGGCGAAAAATCCTACGTGGTCTGTACTCCGGGGGAACGACAGCTATTCCTAGTACTCGCTCAAACCCAGCAGCCTAATGTCCCGGGACCGTTGGGACGTGGCACCACCATCTTCCTGGTGGATTCCCAACAGGAAGGTGTTCGTCTGGGCGAGAAACATGCCACTTTCGGTTGCCGCGGAGCGGAAATCAGACGTGTGCACTTCGACAAAGTGAAATTGGGTGAGGATCAGGTGGTGGGCTTACCCCACGATGGCAATCGGTACTCCGAGCAGCTAGTCCGATCCTCCAGGCTGAGGGGCAGCTTGGTGGGCGTGTCGTTGGCCAAGAAACTGCTTAATAAACTGGCCCAGTACACGGTGACCACCACTCAGTGTGGAGTGCAACTGAAGTAAGTTATGTTTTGTATTGGAAAGGATCTTTAAAAGTCTAAAGTCCATACCTATACTAATCTTTATATTCTACAGAGACCTGGAGCTAACCCGTGTCCACCTTTCCCGAGCCATGTGTTCCATCTACGCAATGGAGAGCATGATCTACATGACAGCCGGCCTACTGGACGAGTTCCGTGCCCAGGATGTGACCTTAGAGAGTGCCATCACCAAGTACTTTACTCTACGGCAGCTGTACGAGATTGCTTCCCAAAATCTTGGCCTAGTGGGACCTAAAAGTCTGCTTAGTGGCGAGGCCACAGAGCAGGGACTACGGGATGCAGCTCAGTTGTGCACGCAGGGTGAATCTCTTGATACCCTGGGGATGTTCATTGCCCTGACTGGATTGCAACATGCGGGGGTAAAGATCTGATAGATAGAGAAAGTCAAGAAAGATCCTAAAGAAACTCTATATTTGCAGCAATCCATGAACGCAGGCGTACGAAAGTCCCGGAATCCCCTCTTCAATCCTGGTCACATTTTCGGCAAGTTCCTGGACACCAACAGCATCGATAGTCCCAAGACCAAGATGCAGCTATCGGAGCATGTGCATCCAACATTGGAAGGGGCATCCCAGTGCATTGAGCACTCCGTAGCCCGCCTACAAATGGCTGTGGAGCTGATGTTCACCCGTCATGGAAATGCCGTGGTGGAGAAGCAAAGTGAAATGCAACGTTTGGCGGAAGTGGGAACAATTATCTTTGCCATGTGGGCGAGCGTTTCGAGGGCATCGCGGTCCTATTGCATTGGCCTGCCCTTGGCGGATCATGAAATGCTAACTGCTACAGCGATTTGTTCGGAGGGCAGGGATCGTGTCCACACTCTTTGCACTCAGATCTTTGGCGGTAATTTCGTAAATAATGATAACAATCTGCTGAGACTCTCCAAGCAACTGACCAAGAGCAAGGGCTACTTCCCCGTCCATCCGCTCACCTTTAACTTCTAAGCCTGGCTTAGGTAGCTAAGTTTATTATTGCCTTTAACATTAAAGTAAATAATTGTTATTGATAACTTAATGTTGTTTTAACTGGATTTGTAAGAGGTTCTTTATGGGTAAACAAATAATTGTTTATTGGATTTTTCATTCTATTGATTGCTTTTATAACAATTTTCAGCTAAAATGACATTTATGTACATACATACATATATACCATGTGTAAATAGTTAAACTTTACTGGAAATATACTTTGAATTTTTAGGAAGAAGGCTTAAACTTGCTTTTACATTAACTATTTAAAGAAAGTATTTCGGATATTTTAAAATTTATTTTTTCAAATGGTTATCATAAAAAAAATGTAAAACGTTTTTGCATATTTTTAAAGAATTCGTACACTCTAATATTCAAGACCTTCAAAAAGGTCTATGCCGATACCAAAATAATCTTAATCCCCCGTGAAATGGCTTAAACCGTTGAGTTACCACCTGTCCGCCTTTGCCGCTGCTCTGGGAATTGGATTTGCATTTCGTTTGAGTGGCTGAACTGGGCGAATTGATAAAGAATTGACAATTTGGTAAGCGGCGCAGGAAAACGGCCAAAAGCGGTGTCAATGTATAAGTGCGCGGTTGCTTCGCTTGTGAGTATTATTTGTGCATGTGTGTATGTGTGGACAGGTGGTAAAGTAACCTGGAAACTGTACTTTGAAAACAAAGCCACTTGTTTACTATTAGTGTTTATCAATATAACGGTGTTCAATTATTAGGTGGTTAATGGCTATCAATAAGGAATCAGTGAATTCTTAATAATTTGGATGACTATTCAATGATTAATAGATATGTACATATGTGTGAGTTTGTTTGTTTGTGCCTACAACTACAACAGCAAGATTTGGTCATTTTGTTTCAATTCCATTTGGTTTCACTCTCTTTTTCGCCACTCTCTTCTCTGTTAGTTGAAATAACTCTCCAACTGTTTACAGAAAGAGAACAGAATTGCAAAATTGCTACAATACAAAGAGAGCAAAAACTTAAAGAGAATCTATTTCTCCGTAAAGCAAAAACTTAAATTAAGTCAAATTGAGGAAGATTTTGTGATAAAATTAATAAAATAATAATAGTTGAAAGCAGCACTAAGCACTACATTTTCGAGAAAAAAATATATATATGTATGTAATTCTTGGTATTATAGCTTTAAAAATATTGTTTTTCAGAATTCCATGGATTTATAAACAATTCTTAGAAATAAATGGATCCTTAGAAAGCAGAAATTATAACTTAATTTATATTTCTTAGAAATAATCACAATCACCCGCTCAATATTTTGAATTTCACCCACACTGTCTGTACGCTTCTAGCGCAAGTAGCTCTTAGGAAGGTGACTTCCCATCACATATCCCTTGCACAAGTTCGAACAGCTGATGTATTCACCACAGCTTCAAACACCGGCGTCGAACAGAGCAAATGGAAGTCACTGTGTATGTGTTTCTCACTCTTTGTCGAGGCGTTCGGACGTTCAAAAGATAAAGCGATACGAACTTGATTAAATTTAATCTAATCCATCGGCGAATAAAGTAAACAATAATTATGATTGATCATTAAGCGGCATGGCGTTGTTTTAAATAAATTTAATCAATAAATTTTGGAAATAATAATAACAACAAAATCAGTGTTTGGAAAAACTTCGCGAAAATTTGCGCGTGTGCGGAAGGAACTGTCACATTTTCGTGTGAAAATCAACGCCAAGGAAAAGGCGGATATATAATAAGGAAATAAACGCCAACGGCGAAAATTATTGCAATTGTGTGGGTGTGCAAAAAAAAATTAATATCATAAGCAAAAAAAAGTTCGAGAAATTGCTAAAAAGAAAATATAAAAGTGTGTGTTTGTGTGATTGGGTGACAAATGATTGGGCAGCAGAAAGAAAAGAAGAAAAGTCAATCAGCGATAAGCAGTTAAAACAAATACAAAAAAGGTGAGTAAAATTAAAATTGTAATATTTTCGCTGTTGAAAACACGATATTGCACCCCTAAATTACTCCCGCTGAGTTCGATATTACGTCCCCTCCCCCTTTTATCACCCCACACCCCTATATCACCCCACCCACTTTTAACCGCAAACAAATATAATGGGCAGAAAAACCCGAAGCGGATAAAGCAAAAGTAGAAGAAGAAGCGAAAGAAGTAGCGTCGCCGATTTCAGTCCTTCATTCCATTTCATTTCGTTCCACATGGTGCATAGACTTGTTGTTGTTGCTGCTGCTGCCCCCGTTGCTCTTGTTCTTGCTTTATTTCGGCTTGACTTCGGCGGTGACAGTGAGCAATGGAAGGCAGCGAACAGCGAACTCTGGAAACGCCACAAGCAGTGGCACACGACGCGGCCAACAAGCACACACACACACACAAACAAACACTACTGGTCAGAGCAAAACAGTGGAGATTCTTTAAAAGGGAACTAGCATTCGATAAGCTATAAAAACAATGAGGTTAAAAATGCTGATCTCTAAGAAACTACTTTAAAACTAAGCAATATTTTAATATTTTATTAATTTGATGGCGAAATATTGTAAGCCATAACTTACATATTTGACTTATCTTCTTTAGCAAGCAATAAACGTCATTTATAAGGAATTAAGTACCGTAGTTTTTTCAAGATAACGAATACATTGATTTAGTGTTTAATCAACTTTGAGCTTTAAGACCAATATCAGTTTTGTGGTCTTATGTGAAAAAATAATAATAAAATGAATAAATAAATAATAATAATATTCAAATCAAATTTTATCAACCAAACATTTTGTATTTTTAGTAAAATTAAATACCTTTTGAAGTTCAAATGATAAGAAATCATGATTGATTTAGGAAATCTCCACTGTGCCCTCACGAATATAATGACAAAAGTATTGGGGGACAGAGACTGCGACGACGGCAGCAGCAGAGGCAAAAGACACCTCGAGGAGTCAACTCACCTCTCGAAACCGATTCCTCTGCTTTAATTTTTTTCTTTTATTATTCTTTTTGCGCTCATATTGTATTTTATTTTTCATTTTTTATGTTATTTTTTTTGCCCGCCCTGGCCGCATGTGTTATGCGTGTGTGTGAGTGCGCGAGGGTTTGTGTGCGTTGGGCTCACACAAATACAATTCATCAGCGGCAGAGAAGTCGGCGTCGTTTATTATTGTTGTTGCTGTTGCTGCTATTATTTGTTGTTGCTGGTTCTGCGCGCTTTTATTTGAGATTTGCGCACGAATGGCTTTTGCTTTTGCTCTTGGAGTTGTATATAAATTGTAAAAGGGGGTGGGGGTATGGGTTTGGAAAGGGAGGAGGGGGTTTCAGGCTAGTTTCGTAGTTCGTGGACAAGCACACATACATACGTGGATCAGAAATACGTGTATACAACATAGAGAAAAATAAGAAGTATACAAAAATGAAGGCAAGTGGATTGGGCTTTGGATTTTGTTTTATACGTTTTCCCCTTGGCCCTTTTTCTACTCGCTCCTCCCTTCCTTTTTCACTGAACTTTTCAGCACCACCTCCCCCACTTTCTCCTTGCCTTTGCTTTTCTTGGCATATTTCGCTTTTTCCCTTTGCATGTTAATTGCCGGCGTTGAACTTTTAGTTGTTAATCAATTGGTTTAGGTGCTCTTTGCTTTTTGTTGGTTTTTGTTTTCTTTGCTGTGTTTGTTTGTTTTATAAACACACATGCCGCTGGTTTTTTGTTGGCTGAAATTCAAATATGTTTAGAAATTTGGTAAAGGAAAGTAGTTCTAAGGTAAATTGTTGACATTAGGATTGGGTAATAGATGTACATACATTAAATGTGTGAGTTAATCGCATCTTATAATAATGCCTTTGCCAAAAGTGTTTATCAGCTAAAATACTGTATATTTTAACCGTTACTTTTAGAGTGCTAAAAAACTATCGTCTTTGTAATTTTATTTAAAAAATAATCAGAATGTTATTCATTTTCATTCACTTCTGCCATTTTAGCAATTTAATTAACTTGGCTAATCAAAAGGTTAACTTTGTTGATTTAACATGCTCTTTTAGTTTAATTTCAATTTCCCAATTTCATTTCCGATTCCCTTTTTCGCCGAAATGAAAAGCGGTTCACGCCGCCAGATGTCGCCTCTGTTGGCTGATTCCGGTGGCTGCTTGCTCTTCTTATCCGCTCTGCTTTTCCTCTGCCCGCAAATCGATTTCGATTTGATTCTGTCTCTTTTGCACACACCCTCGACTTCTGTTTGAGTATGTTGTATGTGTGTGTGTGAGCAATAAGCTTAACATAAATCATTATAACGGCGCATACAGGAGGGACCTTACAGGCCACCTTTCGTCCCCACCACCCTTCTTTTCTGTATGTCTCCGTGTATATTTGTTCGTTTCGGCTGTCATTTCATATGGAATTCTATATGAGAACGCACAAAATCGATTTCTAATCGTGTAAATAAATGGCGACAAATGCTGCGACCTCTCCTTTCCCGTTCTTCTGTTCTACCTCTACTCTTCCTGTACCACATATGACTCCTCTTCTTTCGCATAGCAACAAAAATCAGGAGGGCAGAGAGAGAAAGGTAGATTTGTATGGGCAATTGTTTCAAAACCAAAAGTCCTACACTGCAAGCAAAATATGTTATAACTCGAATGTTAATTGGTTTGCTTACTAAGCTTACTTACTAAAAAGTACTTTCGTATAATCTTTGAATCTTCTTTTAAGTTTAATTACTATAAATATGACAAAACAATATACATATTTTAATATGGTAATATGATAGAATACCCTATTGTTAGCATGCTAATTATGATAAAGGTTTTGCTTAGATAAGATAATAGTGCTTGATAGATTATGGTATTAATGAGTATTATTCTGCAATTTAAACTATTTTGTTTTTAAGCCCTTTACTTATTATAATACAAAGAAAATATATAAAATAATATTGTGACATAATTTCAATCTTCAATCTTCAAAATATATAAATAACCAATGTATGTAGGTCATTAATATTTTTTCTCAGTGCAGTCCACAGATTTCTGGTTGCACCTTGAGCTTTTTCGATGAAAAGGAAATGGGGAATGAG